AGTGCCCAACTCTTGATTTTGTCTCAGGTCATAATCTCACAGTTTGGGAGTTCGAGACCCTCATCCAGCTCTGCACTGTCAGTGTGGAGCCTGCTTGAGATTCTCTCTCTCTCTCTCTCTCTCTCTCTCTGTCTCTCTTTCTCTCAAAATAAATAAACTTAAAAAAAAAGAAAGAAACTATGTAAAGTCTTAGCTTGGTAGGGATATGGGTGAAGTCATTTATGCTGAGTCTGTGAGTTTTATAAGCCAAATTTGAGGCACAGTGTAGAAGAAAGATTAGGAGAGTCTGGCTACAATTTGGTCAAGGTAGGAATCTTTGTCAATTCCCATTGTTGGAATAACATTCAAGGTCCAAGAAGGAGCTACTCCTACCTGGGATGCCATGTCAGCAAACTAAAACTTAGATAACTTTCTTATCCCTGCAAATATCCACTTGACCAGAAATGCAATATATTCTAAGTCAGTCCCCAAATACCAAGCCAACTCTGAGCTCCTTACTTATTTTCTTTTTTCTCCTCACTCCAAACAACATTGACTATGTGATCCCAGCCTATCAGATATTTTATATTTTTCTCTTCCTTGTTCTTTACCATTTACCCTATCAAAGGCTTCTTAAGTCCTATCCCATTTTGGAGTTCTCCCAGTTGAGACTATACACTCTATTAAGTGTTAAATAAAGTTTGTATCATCTAAATGGCTTTCTTTAATCATGTTTACCACCACCTACAAAGTGGCAGTATATTTATTTTCCTACTTCATAAAAGGAAAATACCCATTTAATCTGCCCCTTTTACCCTTGTTTTGAATGCAGTTCCCTGAGAATGTAATGCTGAAGCTACAGAAAATATTTTGAGACCATGAGTAAACAAATTAAAAGATGAAGAGCCAACCCTGTAGTATGGTGGAAAGTCAGGAAGAGGCTTCATTCTGAGGACATCACTGAAATGTGAGTTCAAATCTAGAACCACCTATTTCCTGCCCCCCTTTTCTTTTCAATAAACTTTTATTATTTGAAAAGTTTTAGATTTACTGAAAAGTTGAAAATGTAGTACCAAGAATTATTACATACAAATCATCAAATTACCCTTATTAACACTTTACTACTATTGTACATTTGCCCCAAGTAAGAAATCAACATTGGAACAATTATATTCCCTAAGCACCACACTTTATTTGGATTTCACTAGTTCTTTCTCCTAATATCCTTTTTACTATTACAGGATTCTGTAAAGTAACTGTAAAGTTACTTCCTCCCCACCTTTCCATATTATACTCTTTGGAAACAAGTCATAACCAAGTCATAAGCATACCTCATAACCAAGGTAAGAGTGGGTGGGACAATTTTAGCTCCATTTCCTGGAGGGAGGAACACTTATATAAACAATTAAGAATTCTCCTCTTAGGCTGGTCCTTGAACATCTAAGCCAGAGAGGGTGAATTGGAATGGGGCTAGTCCAACAAAGAGAGGGGACAGATCCCTGGCCTGAAGAGGGAGGGATGCGGAGGGGTCCAGGCATAACCTGCAGGTAGAGGGGCCAGCCCTGGTACGCTTGAGGTTGAGGCAAAGACTGGAGGACCAAGAGTCTGGGTGGGGATCTACTCTAGGGGCCGGTAATGAAACTCCAGCCCTAGGAGGTTCTTCAACTACGGAAGTAAAGACTTCTATAAGCCTGCTCTTCAGGGTACAGGCTCTATGCCTGAGGGCCACCAGTTTTCAAACCACTGACTGAGGGGTCAAGGGTACTTTACCCCAGCAGGGCTAGTTTTGGTGCCCAAAGCACACCCAGGAAACTTTATACCAAGAGGTAGTGACCCACAGTGAAGATGACCCTGTGCTGAGATTAAGGACTTGGGTTAATGCAGATTCTGGGCAGGCTTGCACATACTCAGCCTCTCCCTCTCCCAAGGGGCTAACTTCTTTAACTGACTTTCATCCAGGTTCTAAGTTTCCACTGGCCTTGGGACTACTACCACTGCCCTTTATTTATCTTAAAGCTGAAAGTACCTTTATAGCAACCTCTCCCTTTCCCTCACCTCCAGCTCCTGACTATGACTTTTCTGTTTCTATGAGTTTGACATTTTCTTTAAATTCTATATATAAGTGAGACCATGCAGTCTTCTCTGTCTGGCTTATTTCAGTTGGCATAATGGCCTTAAGGTTCATCCATGTTGTCGCAGATGTTAGGATTTTCTCGTTTTGTTATGGCTGAATAAAAAACAAAAACTGTATATTGCCACATCTCTATGCATTCATCTACTGACAGACACACAAAGTGTTTCCACATCTATTGTAAATAGTGAACATGGGAGCGCAGATGTTTCTTGGACATACGTATTTTGTCTCCTTTAGGTATGTACCTTGACATGAACTTCTAGAGGATCATACAGTATTCCTATTTTTTTAATTTTTTGAGGGATCTGCATACTGTTTTCCAGAGTGGCTGCACCAATTTACATTCCCACCAACCGTGCACAAGGGTTCACTTTTCTCCATACACTCGAAAACACGTGTTATCTCTCGTCTCTTTGATTACAGCTATTTGTATTTCACTGATGATAGTGATGGTGAGAACCTTTTCATGTATCTGTTAGCCATTTGTATGTCTTCTTTGGGAAAATGTCTATCCAGTTCCTCTGCCCACTTTTTTAAATGGATTATTTGGAGGTTTTTTTTTTAATATTAATTTGTGTGAGTTCTGTATATATTTTGGATATTAACTCCTTTAAGATATATCATTTGCAAATATTTCCTCCCATTTTATGGGCTGCCTTTTAATTTACAGATGATATCAATGATATTTGTCATGCAGAAACTTTTAGTTCGATGTAGTCCAACTTGTTTATTTTTGTTTTTGTTGCTTTTTGGGTTCAAAATAAGAAAAAAAATCACTGACACGATCTATGCCTAAGCAGTTTAACACCAGTTTTCTTCTAGGAGTTTTAGTTTCAGGTCTTAAATTTCAGTCTTTACTCTACTTTGAATTTATTTCTGTGTGAGGAATAAGGCAGAGGTTCAGTTTCATTCGTGCGCATGCAGCCGTCATTTTCCCAGCACTACTTATTTCCCTGTTGTATATTCCTGGCTCCTTTGTGGGAAACTGACATGTATGGCTGGGTTTATTTTTGGGCTCTCTATTCTGTTCCATTGGTCTGTATGTCTGTTGTTACACAAGTACCATGTTTTTAAAATTACTGTAGCTTTGTAATAGATTTTGAAATTCAGGAGTGTGATGCCTCTAGCTTTGTTCCTCTCTCTCGGGACTGTTTTTGGCTATTTGGAGTCTTTTGTGGCTCCATACAGGTCTTTGCTTTTGTTTTTGTTTTTTACCATTTTCTTTGAAAAATGCCATCAAGGTTTTGACAAGGATTACGCTGAATCTGTAGATGCTTTGCATTATATGGACATTTTAACAGCATTAATTCTTCTAATCCACGAGCACAGAATATCCTTCCATTTACTTGTGCTTTTTTCAATTTATTTCATCAGTGTACTATAGTCCTCAGGATACAGGTCTTTGATTTCCTTGGTTAAATTCATTTCTAAGAATTTTATTCTTCTTGATGCATTTGTAAACAGGACTGTGTATCACATATACTGATACATAATATATGTGTATCATATATATTGATTTGCAGATATTGTACAATTCTTGAATCTTTGGAATCAATCTCATTTGAGCATGGTGTATGATCCTTTATTGTTTAATTAGGTTTGCTAAAATTTTGTTGAGTGCTTTTACATTTATATCCTTCAAGGACACTAGCCTGTAATTTTCTTTTCTTCTAATGTCTTCACCTAGTTTTAGTATAAGTGTAATGCTGGCTTTGCAAAATGAGTTTGGAAGTGGTCCCTTTTCTTTTTTCTTTTTCTCAGAAGAGTTTAAGAAGGACTGGTATTAATTCTTCTTTAAATGTGTGGTAGAACTCACCAGGTAAGTCATCTTGTCCTGGACTTTTATTTGTTGGGAGGTTTTTCATTACTGATTCAGTCTCCTTACTAGTAATCAGTCTGTTTAGATTTTCCAACTTTTATGACTCATTCTTGATGGTTTGTGTGATTCTGGGAGTTTAACCATTTCTTCTAGGTTGTCCAGTTTGTTGGCATATAATTGTTCATTGCAGTTTCATGATCCTTTGTACTTGTGTATTATCAGCTGTAATGTCTCCTCCTTTATTTCTAATTTCATTATTTTTTGCCTTTTTTTTCTTGATGAGTCTAGCAAAAGGTTTGTCTATTTTGCTTATCTTTTCAAACTATAATATTATATACATGATTTCTGAAATGGAGCTTGCAAGTTATTATCATTTAGATTGAGTTAAAGGGTTGGGGCACCTGGGTGGCTCAGTCAGTTAAGCATCTGACATCAGCTCAGGCCATGATCTCGCAGTTTGTGACTTCAAGTCCCAGCATCAGGCTCTGTGCTGACAGCTTAGAGCCTAAAGCCTGCTTCAGATTCTGTGTCTTCCTCTCTCTGCCTCTCCCCTGGTCACACTCTGTCTCTATCTCTCTCTCAAAAGTAAACATTAAATTTTTTTTAAAAGCTTTATGTTTTATCCTTTAAATCTTCTTTCAGATAAAGCCCTTCCAAGGGTTAATGGACTCACAGGAACCATTAAGAGTTACAGAGGGCATCTGGGTGGTTTAGTCGGTTAAGCGGCCGACTTCAGCTCAGGTCATAATCTCACGGTTGTGGGTTCAAGCCCCGCATTTGGCTCTGTGCTGACAGCTAGCTTGGAGCCTGGAGCCTGCTTCGGATTCTGTGTCTCCCTCTCTCTCTCTGACCCTCCCATGCTTACGCTGTCTCTCTCTCTCAGAAATAAATTTAAAAAAAAAAAAATTAAAAAAAAGAAGTAGTAGTACAATCCAGCCCATGAGCAAAAGGACTACACTAGCATAATATATTCTGATACAGTAACAGGAAATCAGAATGAACTGCAGGTTCTTGACAGCAGAGCAGCATGTATTCCTTATGATGGGACAGAAGTGATTATCTGCTTACCAGTGGGCTGAAGTCCACAGCCAGGCCACAATGGTGCTCTGATTACCTTCAGCTAATCCTTTGGTCAGGGGTGACTTTTTTTTTTTTTTCTAGGAGAGAGAGAGAGACACAGCGTGAGCAAGGGAGAGTCAGAGAGAGAGGGAGACGCAGACTCTGAAACAGGCTCCAGGCTCTGAGCTAGCAGTCAGCACAGAGCCCGACGCAGGGCTCGAGCCCACAAATCGCGAGATCATGACCTAAGCGAAAGTCAGACGCTTAACCGACTAAGCCACCCAGGCACCCAGGGGTGACTTTTGATGCTCGACAGTGTTACTATGACAGACAAATCTGGTTATCAAATGATCAGAATCTAAAATAACATATTTCCCAAATACTCTAAGATTTTTCATTCATTAGAAGCTGACATTATCATAGTAATGTCTTTAACATAATTATAGTTAAAATAAGCATGAATTTTTGTCACTATTACTCATAATATATACATTTCCTACTCTCAAAAACTTATTTAGTTAGAATTTAATGCCTACTTTAAAGTAAGTATAATGATGTTTTTGTGATGTAAAACAAAATTAACGTTAAACAATAGCAGTATTTTTAAAAATGCACCAATAACTGGGGCACCTGGGTGGCTCAGTCCATTGAACGTTCAACTCTTGGTTTCAGCTCAGGTCATGATCTCACAGTCTGTGAGTTCGAGCCCCATACTGGGCTCCATGCTGAGAGTGTGGAGCCTGCTTCAGATTCTCCCTCTCCCTCTACTTCTGCTCCTCTCTTGCTCATGCTCTCTCTCTCTTTCTCTCTCAAAATAAATAAATAAACTTAAAACTAAAAAAAAAAAACAAAAACCTGACAATGTATAGTGGGCTCCATCTCAATTAAATCTCAGCCACAGAATATACTACCCAGTATTAATACCTCTTCCCTTTGTGTGTTTGTGTGTGTTTATGTATATGAAACAAAGTTCAAACACGAAAAATAGTAATATTCAAGATACATTCATATACATTTATATGAATCTAAGTACACACACACACACACACACAGAAAGGATAATTATGTCAACCATTGTGTCAGATATTCTGTCATTATATGTTAAACTCATTTAGTTACCCATCATTTAACCACTCTTTATATTTCTGGAATTGTTCACAGTGCTACGTACCAAAAAGATGTTTGTGAATGGCTGAATGGTCACTAAGGTTAGTGAAGTTAAGCTACTTCCTTATTAAGAATTTTATAGACTACCTTTTCTGGGAAGTTTCCCTAAAAGAGAAACACACTGTGATGATAGATAAATATATTTTAGTACAAAGCTGAAATCATAAGCACTTCAGAGAAATTTTCCTGATCCAAAGTTTAAAAGATAATTACAAACTTGAAAGATATACATTTGTTTTATCCTTGCCAATCTGTGTAACCCATGACCCTGTTCCTTAAGTATATGTAGAGGGATACAAAACTATGTCATTAACGAAAGTGAGAATTACAAAAATCCACTTACTTTCAATCAGGGAAACAGGAAAGCTTATTCGAGTTAAATAACAACTCTAACTGAGAACTGGTATGCTCTACTTTGACTGGAGGTGGTTTTCAAGTTTGAATTTTAAAAGAGGTATGATTCAAGTAACCACATGCAACAAATACACATTAATGTCAGTCCTTGTTGATAACACAATGTTCCAACAGAATTTGAAAGTAAAATCTCTTGGCATACATTCCCAACTCAGGCAACAATGATTACCACAGACAAAGCTCCACTGAATATGAACTAATGATTCTAAATTACAATGCACAAAAGGAAATAATTCATCATGAGAACAAACAGAAAGAGTATCAAGGGTAAATTAGAAACTATGGGTAGGTAGAAACTTAATTATTAAAAATACAGCATAAAGAAATGTAAGCATGTTTTCATGATTAAATGGTAGAATGTCAAATAAACAAAGCACTATCAAAGTAGTCTAGATATATTTGAGAAAGATCCAGTTAGAAATAGGAATGAGAAGAAATGTCAATATAATTAAAATAGAAGCTCAAACGTGTGTATAAAACAAATTAGAACAGCCACTTATGGAATTTGTATAATGGAGAATATGTTTTAAATTACACATATTTATGTGCATATGTATTTATCTATAATATAAGTATATGTAAGAGAATAGTTCAAAGAAAGAAAGATACAGAAGAAATGAAGGAGCATAAGAGATGTGGAGAATACATTAAAATGACTGAATATAGAAATTACAGAAGAAGGGAATAGAAAATAATTAAGAATTTGGAATATCAATCCTTTAATAATATATTCTAAGTTTAAAAGAATATTGCCCTACTAATTAATAGTAATCAATATATTTGAGAATTGTTATATTGTAAAACGCAATTTTGAATCATAGAGCAATAATGGATATACCTATTACTTTAAGGTATAAGATATAAGTAGCTCTATTAGTTGTTTAGAACCTTAAGAGATGATTAAGGGATTCTTAAGCAAAGAGATTAGTGTATATCATTGGGCAGTTATATAAGAAAAACAAGAAGAGTGTAGAGGGAGGGTCTTTCTTCTATGTCTTGAAAGAAGATTGAGTTATTCTGGCAAAAAAAAAATAGGAAATCAGATATATTATATATGTATTTCAATAAAATATGAGAAGAATGAGGAAATGTCAACAGTGCCAATGCATTCAGCTCTTGAGCTTGCCTCTAATGGTAACTCCATACTTTATAATGGAGACACAATGTGTTTTCATTCCTGAACTAATTTCAACAGCTAGTTACGTCTCAGGGGCATCCAAAGCCATTAATGTCTATGTTATTATATACTATCATTCTAATTAATTGTAAGTTTATTCAAATTTTCTGTCTGGAATAATATTTGATCTTCAAAATCCTTATCAATTTACTACCAGTCTTATTGTCTTAAATATATTGTGTATAAAAAATATATACATGTATTCATTTCCTAAGAGAGAGAGAGAATATGAGCAGGCGAGGGGCAGACAGAAAGAGGGAGACACAGAATCCAATGCAGGCTCCAGGCTCTGAACTGTCAGCAAAGAGCCCAAAGTGGAGCTCGAACCCATGAACTGAGAGATCATGACCTGAGCTGAAGTCAGATGCTTAACCAACTGAGCCACTCAGGTGCCCCTTAAATATACTGTATTTAAGTTTAAATATATCTCCTCTCCCAAACTGAAATGGGACTAGGCAAATACTCCCTTCATTTGTACCATTCATGAGGGTCTTCATTTGCATTAAACCTTTAATTGTATCTGTCTTCCTGAGCATACGGACATGTTTAGTCATCAGTCAGAAGTCAATCCATTCTTAGCAAGTACCCATTAGTGTATAGGTATAGATGCATAATAACTTTGATAAGGTCAAGATAATAGTGATTCTTAGCATGTTCTTAGATTTTTGGTCAAAGGCAGTAAGACTGTCCAAACATCCTGTGTCCTCATTTTGGCTCTTGACTTGTCATACAATATTTACAATTCTACATTTTATACATAAAAGCTAGGTATTGGGGCACCTACATGGCTCAGCTGGGTAAGTGTCCTACTCTCAATTTTACCTCCAGTCATGATCTTACAGTAGTGAGATTGAGCTCCATGTCAGGCTCTGTACTGGGCATGGAGCCTGGTCAAGATTGTCTCTCTCTCTCCATCTCCCTCTGCCAGGCTCATATGCACACTCACGCACACACTGTCTCTCTCTCTTAAAAAAAAATATTCAATACAATAAAACTTAGGTATTTCGCTCAATAGGATTATTTAGCTTCTCAGTGTTAACCCTCCCTCAACAATTTTTCTGGATATTCATACAATCTTTTATATATATATATATATATATATATATATATTATTATTATTATATATATAAAAATATATATATATATTTATTTCTGAGACAGAGAGAGACAGCGTGAGCAGGGGAGGGTCAGAGAGAGAGGGTGACACAGAATCTGAAACAGGCTCCAGGCTCTGAGCTGGCTGTCAGCACAGAGCCCGATATAGGGCTCGAACCCACGAATCATGAGATCATGACCTGAGCCGAAGATGGACGCTTAACCGACTGAGCCACTCAGGCACACCAATATTCATACAATATTAAATCATTATAAGAAAAGGCAGATGTTATTCATCCAGACTGTCAAAGGAACAACCATTTGCTTGTTTTTCTATAGTTTATTAATGAGATACCATATGTGAGTTCTGATTCTGTGATCCATTTCATCTCATTCTACTTATGTACATTTACTGGGTAAATGAATGAGGAACTTATAGATGACTGGGAACAAGTTAACCCCTTTTCTTAAAAAAAAAAAAAAAAAAACTTATTTTGAGAAAGAGAGAGATCAAGCAGTGCAGTGGAAGAGAGAGAGAATCCCAAACAGGCTCTGTGAGAGAGAGAGATACAGAAAGAGAAAGAGAAATCAAGCAGTGGAGGGGAAGAGAAAGAGGGAGAGAGAGAATCCCAAAGAGAATCCCAAACAGGCTCTGTGCTATCAGTGCAAAGCCAGATACGGGGCTTCAACCCATGAACTGTAGGATCTGATCCTAACCCAAGAGTCAAACGCTCAACTGTCTGTACCACCCAGGTGCCCCAAGTTAATCTTTTCTTAAGGAGAAAAAGGAGGAAAATAAAAAGTCTGAGGTACATCCTGATTTTTTTTTTTTAATTTTAGAGAGAGAGCATGCAAGGTGGGTGGTGAGAGTGGGGGTTAGAGAAAGAGGAAGAGAGAGGGAGAGAGAGAGGAGGAGAGAGTGGAGGAGAGAGAGAGAGAAAGAGAGAGAAAGAGGGAAGGAGAGGGGGGGAGAGAGAGAGAGAGAGAGAGAGAGAGAGAGAATCTTAAGCAGGCTTCACGCTCAATGCAGAGCCTGATGCAGGCTCATCCCAGAACCCTGGGGTCATGCCCTGGGCAGAAATCAAAAGTCAGATGCTCAAATGACTGAGCTACTCAGGCACCACCAACCTAAAATTTTAGAGTTCTGCTTAATAAAATGTGTTTTTGCAATAAAATATGTTCATTAAAACTCTTTCTTCTCTACTCTTTAATCAAGAGCTTATTGATCAAGCGAAGTGGTT